TCTATACCGATAATACATAATATAAAAATATTGAATATAAGCACCAGTACTACATTTATTTACGATTTGTATACATAATAAGCTTTTATTACTCTCTTTCATTTCTAAACAGACTATAGGCATTATTATTTAGTAGATAATATCTTTAGAAAATATATTTTTTTACACACAAATATTTTTCCAAGACGTACTTAAGTGAAGAGAAAATAACATTAAATAAATTTAAATGGCATATACAGGGTGTTCTGAAAGTCCGGCAGGAAACTTCGGGAGTTCTAGGGATTAAAGTAATATTAATTAATGTGATGAATATTTTTTTCGAATTGTCAATTGTTTGCAAGTTACAGCTCGTCAAAGTTCAATTTTTTATTTGTTTTTCTTTTTAAATAACTTACTTAATTCAAGTTCGATTAGTCTTTCATTTGGCACACCCACTAAGCAGATCAATCTCTATTGGACCAGTCAGGGAAAACTTTCATTATGCGCCGCTAGAAGGCACTTTATCTAGAACTCAAAATTTGTTTTGTTCATAACTTTTTCCCATGCTTGACGTCACAGAAATTTAAACATTAATTGAAAAGAGGAACAATATCAGAAAAAATGATGTAGGTACTCTATTGAAGCCAATAAATGTAACCGTTTAGCAGGAAATCGCTATTAAAGTTTTATTAAACATCAAAATTTTGATAATTCCTTCTGTAATTAATCAAATTGCCAATCTTTTGTCATTAGTAATTGTCATTAGTAATTATGGTGCCACGAATGGGGATCGTGCGCGAAATATAGAGGCAGCACTGCTGCCGATGTTAGCGCTTTAGTATTTATTTATCGAATCAAATGGGATAAACAATTATAAACATTAAACTAAATAAACATAATTTACTTATTAAATGTTTTATAATAAAAAAGAATTACAAACAATTTATTTTATTTTTCAATAAATATAACGAAATGACAATTATAAACAAGATTGAATATTTATTTCAGGCAACTACCTAAATAGTCGTACTCATTTACAATTATATATCTTACTTACATATTATTTACAATTGTATGTATTATTTATTATGTACATAATTTTTTCATCCATTTTTGTTTTCGTTGAATAATGGCTTTTGAATATTTATCAAANGCTTGACGTCACAGAAATTTAAACATTAATTGAAAAGAGGAACAATATCAGAAAAAATGATGTAGGTACTCTATTGAAGCCAATAAATGTAACCGTTTAGCAGGAAATCGCTATTAAAGTTTTATTAAACATCAAAATTTTGATAATTCCTTCTGTAATTAATCAAATTGCCAATCTTTTGTCATTAGTAATTGTCATTAGTAATTATGGTGCCACGAATGGGGATCGTGCGCGAAATATAGAGGCAGCACTGCTGCCGATGTTAGCGCTTTAGTATTTATTTATCGAATCAAATGGGATAAACAATTATAAACATTAAACTAAATAAACATAATTTACTTATTAAATGTTTTATAATAAAAAAGAATTACAAACAATTTATTTTATTTTTCAATAAATATAACGAAATGACAATTATAAACAAGATTGAATATTTATTTCAGGCAACTACCTAAATAGTCGTACTCATTTACAATTATATATCTTACTTACATATTATTTACAATTGTATGTATTATTTATTATGTACATAATTTTTTCATCCATTTTTGTTTTCGTTGAATAATGGCTTTTGAATATTTATCAAAGAACAAATAACGAAAATAATTTCAGCATTATGAGTGGCACATTGGCACTTTGGATAAAATATTGAAGTCCTTGATTCGTTGATTGACTCGTTCAATATGTATCCGCACAGATACAATAATGTATGTTTCATCCACCTCTTCTGGTGTAAATTGATTGTTGTGACAGAACGGGGGCATGACAAAGACATTATTCTTTTTTTCTACTTCAGTTTTTACTTTGGAAAGCCTTTGTCAGCAAGAACATCACCAGGCTCGATTAAATCAACTATACTTCAGTCATTTGTAATAAAGCAGTCACCAGCACGGCCTCCATAGTACTTGGAGAAGAAACTTATAAATGTAAATGTCAAACCTGTTTTTAATTCCATGAAAGTTATTAATAAATTTGTTTTTTTTTTTATCAAATTTCGTAGTCGTAGAGTCTGGAAGTAAGTTTAAAAGAAATGAGAAAATTGTAAATTAACACCAGTTAAACTACTCATAAAAACCTTGGCTTCATAAAGTGATTTTCTAAGATTTTCATCAATCGGATCACAACCAGAATCTCTTCATCAAAATCGGTATATTAGCTTCACAACTCCTGTTTACTGTTAATTTTATCGGAATATTGGCTTCTACAGCAGTAGTACTTAAACCATAACTATAATCCAAATTGCCAAAAAAATATGTTGAGTCGTCTAACGTATTATCCATAATTTCATCAGTTTGACAAAGTATACTTCGATGGACAGGGTTAGGAGTAACATTTAAAATATTCATATAAATATGATACTGTTCTGCAATGTCCGGAAGTTCATTATTATATTGCTCCATTTCAATGTCACTTGAATTTATTATTATTGTTGTTGTTGTTACCATTTTTATCACACACTATTAATCCCTTTTTGTTGAGAACTTTCTTTGATTGGCGTTTTTGTATCCGTTCAAAACGTCATCGTCATAAAGATTGAAATGCTGTTTTAATATTTTCATTTCCAGAAAAAATCGAGGGAATATAAGATGGATGTAATGGATGCTCCGATTTTTCATTATTTATAAAATAACTGCTACAAATTTTGGTACCTATTCTTATTGGATACCCAGTCTTTGGACGTTTACTGAAATTAAAAACAGAAAGGTTATGATGTTTCATTATAGGATAGCAGTACATATTTAAATATTTTTAATCTTATTATCAAAATTACGACTTCTTTCAATTTTGATGTTAATATAGTACTTACACATAATTTTTTACTGCATTTATCCACTTTATACGTTTATCAATTTTCTATGAGTTGCCAAATACTCGTATACTCTCTGGAAATTTTAAATTTTAAAATTAAATTTTTAAATAAAATTTAACATATACAGGGTGTCTCATAATTAGCTACCAACCCTGAACAGGCCGGTTCTATGATCAAAACTAAGTAAAAAAGTTCATATGAACATGGGTCTGGTTTTGCTTCCTAAGGGCACAGGGACCCATTGAAGAGGGAGGAATGGAAATCATTTTTTTGCAATATCTCTCAATCGCGTTGTGATAAATGAATGAAATTTGGT